GCTCATGTTTAAGCAAATATTGCAGGTATTCATGTGGTTGGATAAATTACACTTTAGGTATAGAGACTTTCAGAATGGATGAAGGAAGATTCTGGAGACAGACTGCCTGAATGTGAATGTGGGATCCTCCTCTTACTATCTATGTGAACTTAGTCCAATTATTTTTAACTTTTCTGGGCCATGCTTTAACGATAGGTACCACATAGGATTGTTCTGAATTTTAAATTAATTAATACAAAGAAAACACTTAGAATAGTACCTGGCATATAGTAAATAGTCAATGTTATTGCCTTGTTTGTCTTTTCCAAGTAGCAATAAATGACCTAACTTTCTGTTGGTTAACTGCATAGAAGTGTGTGGCACAGGCTTGTTGAAATCTTATTTGCATCCTTCTATCCCTGTAGCTCCAACTTTTTTCTGGGTTACCCACATTAGGATTGAACAGAGTGAGCTCAGCCCTCATCCGTGCACTGTGTATTTGAATATAAATAGTGCCCTGCCCCAATCTCCCTTTTTCCAATTCCTTTCACTTTTCCTAATAGAGTTGAGTTTTGAGGGGTTTTTTTTTGGCAGTTCTCTGATGAATATATTCAACTGATCTCCTGTGTGTGTGACCTAGTAATATGGTTTGGTTGTTTCCCCACCCAACTCTCATCTTAAATTGTAGCTTCCATAATTCCCAGGTGTTTTGGGAGGGACCAGGTGGAGATAATTGAATCATGGGGGTGTTTTCCCCCATACTGTTTTTGCGGTAGTAAATAAGTCTCATGAGATCTGATGGTTTTATAAGGCGTTTCCCCTTTTGTTTGGCTCGTATTCTCTCTTGCCTGATGCCATGTAAGATGTGCCTTTTGCCTTCCTCCGTGATTGTGAGGCTTCCAGCCACATGGAACTGTGAGTCCATTAAACCTCTTTTCCTTTATGAATTACCCAGTCTCAAGTATGTCTTTATCAGCAGTATGAAAATGGAGTAATACACCTAGTCAGTGTAGAGATTAAGGATAATTTCTCTTTTGTACTCAATGAAATACACTATGAATGCAACCTTTATTGACTGTTTTGTTCTCTACATTATACTGTTAAATCATTCTGAGTTTGTAATTAAAGCTCCCCAAATTCACCCCCAACATTTGCTAGTTTCACAAAAGTTTATTCTTTCGTTTATTGAATTATTGGCTGCTTAACATATTACATGCCAGCTTTGTAATTGACAGTAGATCTACTCCTTAGAGTTTAGAGTTTCCTGGAATATGCAAACACACTTGTAGTAAGTGTGATAGTGAAAATTGTTATAATAGAGATGTGCAGAAACTGTATGATAATAAAAAGGAAGGATACCTAATTCTCCCAGTGGGGGACGGGGGAGAGTATGACAATGAAGATGGCAGAGGTAGGGAGAAGATGTCAGGGTAGTACACGTGGAAGAGAAAGTGTTTGTCATAAACTGTATGTAAGATCCTAACCACTAAGAGAGTGGAGGAAGAAAGCCTTTAAACAAAGAGAATAACTTGTAATATAGCATGAAACAGCATGGACATTCTGAGAACTACTCCTACCTGAGAACGGCAGCAGCCTAGAGAGCAGGTGGAGGAATTGGCAGGAGAGATGCTGAGCAGGTAGGCAGGTACAAGGTCCTGGTGGGCTTTGCATGTCACACTTGAAAATTAATATTTATTCCTATAGGTAATGAGCCAACATGAAAGGAGTTTATATTAAAGAGGGACATGGTTAGATAGATGTGCATTTAAAAAAATACGAGACTGATAGCCTTTATAGTGTGATCTGTGAATTAGAGGAAGCAAGAATAGAGGTGGGATGGCTGATGGAGAGGCAGTTCCTGTCACACAAGTGAGAAAAAACTGTGAAGTCATGACTAAAACATGCCTATGGGAATGGAAAAGAAGGACATTTTCTGAGAGATTTATTAAATAGATATATTTTGAGCACTTAGACACTTTGAGTGATGAGACTCTCAGGACTTGATAACCAGCTACATGTGGCAGGAAATGGGAAAAGTGGAGGCTTTGCCCCAGGTCTGAGTGACTGGGTGGATAATGATGTCATTCACATGATAGAAGATAGCTGATTTGGGAGAAGCAAAGGGTTCCCTTTGGGACCTGTTTTTGGATACCTGTGGGATATCCACGTGGAAATGCGCTGCAGACATTTGGCTTAGTATCAATAACTCAGGAGAGAGGTTTTTTTGGTGCTAAATGGACTTGAGAATCATTCATATATAGAAGGTGGTTGAAAGGGCGTCAGTTGGAGGGTTGGCTAAAAACCAAGAGGAAGTGGTGCCAGAGGACCTATGGCAGAGAGAGTCTATAATGCTTGGTATATATCTATATACATTACTAATATTTTATATATACTTTATGTATATATATCAAGTATGTATATTTACTAATATTTTATTACTTTTTAAACTTATAAAACACTTTATAATATTTAAGTAGTGTCACACTACTTCTAAACCTATAGTAGAGAGAGTCTATAATGCTTTATAGATATATAACTAATATTTTATATATACTTTATATATCAATGTCTATTTACTAATATTTTATTACTTTTTAAGCTTATAAAACATTTTATAGTTTTTAAGAAGTGTCAAACTACTTCTAAATATTAGAAAATGTGCTTTCAAGTAAGTAGAGTCCAGAGCAGGCCTGTCGGGATGGGTCACCTCCTTTTGGAGCAATCTACCTGCTAGAGATGAAGGATGTATGTCTTTCCGCCATTTGGACCTAATTCTAGTAGGTCCTAACTCATCACATTCTAGTTGGGGCTTGTGTTGGCTTTCTTAGTTTGAATGGGGTGAAGATTTTCTCTCTGTTTTTCCTTCTCTTTGCTTTTAGTTATTTTCAGAGAAAAGAATTCAGGTATAAATGACTTTTCTATGCAGCATTTAAACAGCAGTCCCAAAGTTCCTTTAAAAGTTTGAGCTAACCAGAAAATATTATCTATAACATCATTGTTTTTATTTTTAAACTGAACTCTGTTTGAGCTTTTCATGTATTTCGATTATGCATTTCTTTAGAGCAGAAGTGAGGCATATTTACCTTAATATCCCCAGGGCTTATAACAGAACTTGGCATGTGGGAGTGCTCCATAAATGTTTATTTTTGTACTACTTGTTGATGACTACACAGTTCCATTTTTGAAAGCTTTCAAGCTTTCTTGACTCTTCTTACCTTCCAACATCTCATGTCACTGAATTACACAAATTTGTCTTCTTTATTTTATTAATTCTACTCTTTTTAACTGACTAAAGTTCAGCATCTTTTTCCCCCAAGTGTTAAAGTGAAATGGGAATTTGTTTTTAGGCTGTATATATGCCACAATATTTGAGAGTTTTGGCTTAAACAGAGGTAGGCCTAAAGAAATTGAAGTTGAGACAGAAACCCGGCAGGATGACCCTGCTACTCCTTTGTTTCTATAGCGACTCTTGTTTCTACTTCTCTTTGTTATCTTTCTCTTTTTTCATTATGAAAAATTTCAAACACATACTGCCTTATAGAATATAGTATAACAAACCAGCAAACCAGATGCATTCTTAACTGTTTCTTTCTTTCTTTTTTTTTTGTTTTTTTGAGATGGAGTCTCGCTCTGTCGTCCAGGCTGGGGTGCAGTGGTGTGATCTCGGCTCACTGTCCCCTCCGTCTCCCGGGTTCAAGCAATTCTCCTTGCCTCAGCCTCTGAGTAGCTGGGATTACAGGCACCCATCACCATGCCCGGCTAATTTTTGAATTTTTTTAGTAGAGACGGGGTTTTGCCATGTTGGCCAGGCTGATCTTGAACTCCTGACCTCAGGTAATCCACCTGCCTCGGCCTCCCAAAGTTATGGGATTACAGGCATGAATTACTGCACCCTGTCAACTGTTTCCTTCTTAATTATCAGGAACTTTACCATGCATAATTAGAGTCTTATTAATATACATCTATTCTACTGCAACAACAAATTCCTCCTTGCTGGTCAGAATTCATGTCAGAGTAAGTTATATTAGATTCTTTGTCTACATTCTGGGAGACAGGGTTAGCAGTAAGGAAGTCCTGGACATGAATGGATTTGCAGGTGATGACTGCACGAGAGGCTTCCTGGATCACTGCTCCATTTTCCCTCCCTGCCTGTTTTGTGAACTGCATCAGGAATGAACTTATCCTACCTCTGCAGGTGGCATATTACATGCTTCCAAAAAGTAACTATGGGACTTTCACTGATTTAAGAAAGCCTATGCTGTGCTTTGATTGGGATAATCCCTTATTTGTTATGTTAAGCTTCTCAACAAAATATGAATTTTCCGGCTGCTGTTTTTTTTTTGGTGTTCTTTTTGGTGGCTTTTGCTAGAGAATGAATAGAATTTAGGAGGCCACACACCTGTTTCAGCTTCAGCTCTGTTCACGTTTTCAGAACTCTAGAATGTAGTGATTCTCATGATTGTGGCAGGAGGTAGTGGGGCCAACAATGCTATTTGTTCATTTTCCCCATATGTACCCAAGGATTTCCTGTTTGATTGCCTGTAAGACTGTGCTTCCTTTTTCAGAGTTCTGCTATTTGGAGCTATCATAAAATAAGAAATGAAAAGAAACCTTTTAGAGTAGAGGGAAAATTTTATAGGAAAAGGAAATAAAAGTTCTGAATTCAACACCCCTATTTGTATACTCTGTATAAAATGCATTTGAGCATTTTTCATCTTTGGTTTCTCTCTGTACCATTTATATTCTACTTATGAAAATAAATTGGGAGTTTCTTAGCTAATGAAAAGTTATTTTATCTAATAATTCACAAATATGAATTTCTGGGTAGGAAGAAATCCATTTTTTTTCCAGTTTATCATTTTGACTTTTTTGATTTCTAAAAATCAGACCTATAGTATACATCTGTTCTTAATATGTAAATGGATGGTTAAATTTATGAAGGTGAGTCATTATATTGTTTCCCCAGCTTTTTTTTTTTTTTTTTTCTGAAAATGTGGTGTCTTTTTTTTTTTTTAATCCAGGGAATCAGCAGTCTCTTCAGTTCTTTAAAAGTGGTGCGTCTCTTACGACTGGGCCGTGTGGCTAGGAAACTGGACCATTATCTAGAATATGGAGCAGCAGTCCTCGTGCTTCTGGTGTGTGTGTTTGGACTGGTGGCCCACTGGCTGGCCTGCATATGGTATAGCATCGGAGACTACGAGGTCATCGACGAAGTCACTAACACCATCCAAATGGACAGTTGGCTCTACCAGCTGGCCTTGAGCATTGGGACTCCATACCGCTACAATACCAGTGCTGGGATATGGGAAGGAGGACCCAGCAAGGATTCACTGTACGTGTCCTCTCTCTACTTTACCATGACAAGCCTTACAACCATAGGATTTGGAAACATAGCTCCTACCACAGATGTGGAAAAGATGTTTTCGGTGGCTATGATGATGGTTGGCTGTAAGTATTTTAATGTTTTCATTAAAAATTATTATTATTGGCAGTTTTCCTGGCTACAATCTCAGATAGGATTAAAATGAACTACTTTGTCTTCGGAAAGGTATTTAATCCATCTTATTTGCATTTTTTATCTACTTTAGAAAATAGAAATGCAAAATAATATATTTTACTCTTCAGAACATATTAATGTGTGAAAAACATATTAATGTGTGTACCCAACAGAGCTCTCTTGAAGGAACCAGGACCAGCATCCAGACAGGTGGCATTTAGCACATTCCATAGATTTTGTTGGTAATGTGTTAAATTCCAAAAACAGATAGGATCCAATGTGAAATATATTGTTTATAAATATTCTAGTTAATACTGAATTCCTAAATTAAAGTTGAACTTAGGATATACTTTTGTATAGGTTTTTACAATTAAGACTAGGAGAAGGGGTTTATTAACGTAGTCTTCATTACAGTCACTGTAGGTTGAATATATGCCTATTTGAGGGAATGACAGGATTGCTGAATATAAGCCCATTCAGCAATGAGAAGTGTCTAGGATTTAACATGTATACCTGAGTACCAAGTTCTTAGACGTGGAATGCCCCCAAAAGGGACAAAGACCATGTCCTTTGCACTCAGACTGTGACTGGATGGCATCAGAAGACCACAACCTAAAGGAAATACATACCAAAGAAGTTGCTTTTGAAGATCTTGAGGGAGACTTCACCATCATTCATGCCTTCAAGTTGACTTAGATGACTTATGCACACCTAGTTCTGGTACCTAAACTAACCTTAAGATTGTACTGAAGGTGTGATTAGCATTATTAGCGCCTCTTAAGCCTTCGGATCATGGTCATTGGTTTTTGTGTGTGTGTGTCTAAGCTGTTTTTTCTGAGATTCCATGTTACAGAGGCTTAGATTTTGACATTGATGGTAAAAGTTCTTGGAGTCCAGGGACGTTGACTGGACTGTGAAAGGTTAATATCTTGGGTCTAAGCAGGTAGTTTTCATCGTTTAGAATGTCTGAAAGCTATTGGAGCATCAGTGTTGGCAGTTATTCAGCTTCTGTTTGTCCAATACACCCTTGTACAGGTATAGGAATAAGAACACGCAGACTCTATTTGCTGGTTAGAGCTTGCAGTTAGAAAGGGAGTGAGAATTCCGAGTGCTGTCTGCTCCAGAGGCTTTCAGCCAGAAAATGTCCTTATACACAGGGAGAGATCCTGATGATTAATTAAACTGATACCTACATATCCACAGTGGTAAGATGTATGGGCAAAAATGTACTTTATAAATTCAGAAGACAACATTTTGTCAGATGCTGTATTTAGCACCATACTACTTTTCATATTTATACAATACATTTTGCCTTATACTTGAGCATAGATTTAAAAAAACCTTTTTGTTTTGAAGTAATTATAGATTCATTGGAAGTTGCAAAAATAGTATGTAAAGGGCCTTTGTTACCTTCACCTAGTTTCCTCCAATAATTACATCTTATATAACTATAGCTCAGTGTCAAAATTGACATTGATATAATGTATGTGTATAGTTCTGTATTGTTTTATCACATGTGCAGGTTTCTTTAATTACAACTGCAATCAAGATATGGAACTGTTCCTTTACCACAAAGCTCTCTCTCATATGTAATCTAACCATTTCCCCCAACTATCCCTATTCCCTGAAAACTACTAATCTGCTCTCCATCTTTATAATTTTGTGATTTTGAGTGTGTTATATAAATTGAATTATGTAAAATGTAACCTTTTGAAATGGGCTTTCTCCACTCAGCATAATGCCCCTGAGATCCATCTAAGTTGAGTATATCAATAATTAATTTGTTCTTTTTTATTGCTTAGTAGTAGTTTATGGTTAGGATGTAGTATTGTTTAACTCACCATCTATTGAAGGACATTGTATTTGTTTCCAGTTTCTGGCTATTACAAATAAAGCTGCTACTTGTGCCAGGATCCTAGTCAATCTGTGTGGCAGTCTGGGAAGCACCACTTGTAACCTTGTAACTCAAAAACAGAAAAATGTTTTATCAAAAGATTGATGGAGACACCAACTGCCTATATTCTGTTGAGAAAAATAATCACTACTTGCAAATGATAGACTCTTTTTCTAGAGAAAGTCATCCAAAATTTATGTGCCTTTCAGCAAAATTTAGAAGTATGAGTGTGGCAACAATCCCAATTCCTAGGTCCTTATGAGCCCTCTTTTCAATGGCCTTTCCTTTCCTAGGATTTGCTACCCTAATGCTAAGTTGGATGTGGACTCTGTCTAGGAATACAGTCTCAAAAGTTTTCCTTGTTGATATATCAGACAGATCTTCAAAAAATAGTATTGACCTTCCCCTAATCCCACTCAACTGAGATGCCATCCAGATCTCTCCTATGTCAGCAGCATCCCAGAATACTTTTCTTACCTGCTACCTAGGAATTTCTTAGACTTAAGTCCTTTGTTCCTACATTTGCCCAACATGGGAGATCTTCTGTTCAGATTTCTGAATTGGAAGGGTTGCCTGATGCTTCTCTATATACATCTACCATCATGCATTCTTTATCTTAAATTTGTTTTCTCTCGGTTTTTTCATGCTCTGTCTGCCTTGAGTGACCTCCACTGCTCTGGTAGCAGCCATTACTCCCCAGGGTAGTCACGTCCTCCCCATTCCTCTGTATCTGTCCATTCATGAATGAATCCAGCTACTCTGCTGACATTCACAAAATTCACTACCAAAGGGCTTTTGTGAGAGAATATTTTTGCAGTTTAGTTCTGCAGCACTTGTGGAAAACAGTATGTATGTACGTACGTGTGTGTGTGTATGTGTATTTAGATCAAGATGTAAGTAATCTCCTTGCTAATTTGCTTGGTAAATACTTAATGATGCCTTCATGAAATGTTTTCTAATCCATTTTATTTACATAATCTTATTATTGAGCCCCTAATAATATTAGATTTTCTAAGGATTAGGCACACTGACTAATTTTGCTGCTATTCAGAAGGCACCATAGTACACGGATGATTTGTTTTGATGACTATAAAACAAAGGAATGCAATGATGGAATTTTTCTAATAGGATTATACTCTTGTCTTAATATGTTTTTATAAATTCTCTTCTAAACATTTATCAAGAAAGCAGTTACTTAGTTCCTTCTTTATTACTAAATTATCACATAAACTGTATTTTAGTTTAATCTAGCCATTTTAAGGAACTCTACATTTGCATATTTCATTATAATTTTATAAAAGAAAGCATATAAAATAAAAATGTTTTGAATAACTCTTTGCCTTAAATAAGTTCAACCATTAATTTTTTCTCTCTCCATATATACGTCTTTGTACACTATTAAATATGTTATTAAATGTATATTCAGCATATGTCAAAGGGCTATGAGATTGGAATTTGGGTATTCATTTGCTCTAAAAGCATTTTTCTACTTTTTCTATTGTCTGCTTTGGTAAATTGAGACAGGCTGGCCCATGCAGTATGTGTCAATGAGAATTTGTCCTGCTGTGATGCAATGCAAACTGAGTCTTAGAAAGCAAAACAAACCAAACTAAAAATTATAAAGATAAAAATTGCTGGGGTTTAATTGGTAGACAGGAAGCTCTGTCATAACGATGTTAATCTGCAATTTTCAAATAAGATGTAATTGGTTATCACGTAAACAGTCTAAAAACTTTCTGTAATTGACTAGTATGATCTGCAATGCAGCAGACAAATGGTTTAGCACATTTAAAAGTATAGCAAGACCATCTGCCAGTGGGATGCATATGACAAGAAATCCAAATCTTCGTGTAGGCAGTTAAGTGCAACTGGGAAGCATTTAGTTGCACACTGGTCAATCAGCACCATGCAGAGGAGACCAATGCCACACATCATATGCTTATGTTGATGAGCTTCTTCAGCATCCTCTGTGGAATTCAGATAAAAGTCAAGCTGAAATTATGCGCATTGCCCTGACCTCTCCCCACAGGAAAAGGAAATAAATAGAAGATGGTAAGATCCAGAGATTGGGAGAATATAGAGTAAGTTGAGAGCAAAGGCCTGTGTGACCCTGGGGAGTTTTTACGTCTCTCTGAGTTTTATTTATTTATTTTTTTCAATTGTGAAATGCCAAAGTTGAAGTCAATGACTTTTAAGGTCCCTTTCAGGGCTAACATTCTATACTTCTAAGATTCTATTGGTGCAGTTATGCCCTTGTCCATGGCATGGAGCTAGTTATTGGAGATGAGGTTAAGATGGAAACAAAGTGGTGTCACAAAGATGTTAGGGCTTTTTACATATAGTGTGTACATTGCTTTATGGAGAGTAAGATGTATTTTCTATAGAAAATGTTCTGTAAAGATTAAGAGGAAAAGTTGTCAAGGAATAAATATTATGGAGAAAAGAAAATACGCTTTTGAAAAGAGAAGTGTTTTTCCATATAGAAATTAGGCAGCTAGGAAGACTGAAAGGCATGTGTCTCAGGGCAAAGGATCGGGGCCCAGGAAGAGACTGCACACCATGCTCAGTGGGACTTGGACTTGGAGAGGTACTCGACCTAGATGGATATCCAGACAGGCTTAAAAGTGGGTTGTTGCCCTTTCCTAATATTAGAAAAAAATTATTCTACAAATCTTAATATGTGACTTCAGGCATTTCAGGTATAATATTAAGTTCCATGTTAAAGTTTTTATTGGCCTTGTTATTGCGGTGTAGGTAGAAAATGCAGTGTGTACATGCTGATTTTCATTTCTGGCTTTAGTTTTAGCCAGATGGGGAGAGCTTTACGCCTAATGTTTATTTTGGAAACTGGGTCAATTCTTTGTGTCTGCTTTACCATAGCTTGTAAAGAAGACTTTGTCTTTTTTCTTTTCTTTTATGAGCTGAGGTTCCCATGAGAAAAAACATTTTATGGAGCCCCAAGTTCAGGGTTATGGCACCTTTTTTCATGGTTTAGCAGTCTCAGATGTGTAGTTGGGTAAAGACTGTGTGATGTACACTTGACTCCCTGATTCTTAT